CCATCTGTCTCGGAGTAATCGGCGAACGTACGGCACACGTACATGAAATAGTACGTTTTTTTGCAATAAAAAGCGTTCGGAGTGAAAAAATATAAAATGTTTTTTTAACGGGACCAATCGGGAGACATACTCTACCAGATGCAAAATGTTTTGTTCCGATTGGTCCATCCGTCTCGGCGTAATCGGTGAACATACATTTAAAAAAAAAAAAAAAAAAAAAAAAATCCTTTCAAGATGGACATAGGCTATGTCATATTGCGATTGGTTGTGTTTTTTATTAACAAGGAAGCATTAAAGAATTGGTTTGGTTATACTCGGCATTGCCACCAAGCTCCCTCAGTATGCTACACTCATAATATAGATTTATCAGTGTTTTGTTTTCTTGGCATTCGTTTCCTTATTCACGCCGTATCAGATGACAAAGAAATATCTGTCATTTAAAAAAAAAATTGCGCCTTGCATTTAATAGTATTTTTATTTGTATTAAAGTATGTTTTAGCTGATTTCTTGCAATTTTTAACATTCAATTTAAAAAGAACTGTTGGCGAATTTACGAGAACGCTGTCGAATATTCTCGAAGCGTTAATTAGCGAATTTACAAGAACGCTATTTAATTGTTGACGACATTACGAGAACGCCGCCGAACACTCTCCAAACGTCGCTGCTGTTAGTCTACCGAAATATAACCCCCTCCTCTTCTATAAGCAAATTCTATTATGGATATCTAAACCCCAAGTATCGAAAAATTAAAATATAATGTAGCTTAATGTTCTCGCTAACATCTCCAGTATATGTACAAGTTTTAACATATAACATTACATTTTTATGTTATATGGAATATAATAGTTCATTAAAATTCCCGGGCAGAGCCGGGTAACGCAGCTATGATCTTTAATTTTGAGGCTAGACTATTTACTTTTGAATATAAACACATTGAAAACTTCTTTAATTGAATATTTTCTTAAACGTTATTAAACATTTTTTAATCAAATCTTGATATCTTTTAGTGTTACCTTTTCATTTCGAATCAAATTTATCGAGAATTTATTGATCACTCTGTACAAATTTAACAGGTAGTAGCAATAGGAACACTTTTATACTATCAATTACTAAAGCTATTTTGTATGTTTCTTGCATGTAACACAGCGACCTTCGTTTATGCCGGTGGTTGGATCGGAAACGTGATTTGTTTACTGAGTTCTGGCCTACTGTCAGCCTCCACATTAGGATGGCCTAGTTGCTTCTACATTTGGGGAGCTCTAACTATTATTTCTAGTATTCTTTTCTTCATTATTGCAAGAGATTCGCCAACTGAACATTCCAGTATACCTCTGGACGAGAAGGAATACATTGAAACTAGCCTTGGAATAGTAGAGACGGATGAGGTAAAAATTTTTTTGTAAGAGTGGTAAAGTCTGTGTAACGATAAGTTTTTAATTTGCAAACATTAACAAAATAATATTGTTTACTTCAATAGTATACAGCGTGTATGTAAGCAATGAAGAAAATTCTTCTAAAGATGTGTTATATGAATCTTCTTTTCATGTTACAATAGCATAAGAGGATATCTAAGGGATAATAGCGATGTAGGGCATGGAAATCCCCCAAAATTCCTCATTTTGAAGATATTAAGATTAACAATAAGATTAATATAGAAAAAATGAATATAATTTTCAGTTATTAAATATTATACAATTTAATATGTACAATAAATTTCAGGTTTTTAAATTTTAATTTCAAATTTCAAAGTTCAAAAATTTATATTTCAATATTTTAAAACCCATTTTTAAAGCTTCAAAATTTAAAAATTCAAAGCTTTTAAATTTAAATTTAAAATTGAGTACTAAAATTGGAATTTTTTTGTGGTGAAATCTCCTGTGCCTAGTGCGCCATTATCCTTAATAATCTATGCTCGGCACTATGTATACAGGGTGTCCCAGAAAGAGTGTTAGTTCTTTAAGGGGGTGGTAGCTGGGGTGATTCTGAACATTTTTCTTTGTAAAAATGTTGTTTGAAGCTTCCGTTTTGAATTATTAAGGAAAAACACTGACCAATCAGAGCACGCATAGCGCACCTGTATGAAGTTAGCACCCCATTTTGAAAATGTTAGAATTCTAAAAGTTGTTCCAGGTTGTTCTAGAGTTGTTCTAAATTGTTCCAGAAGATAAAATTTTTATAATAAATATTTTAGCGGAAAATTAAAAAAAATAGTTTTTTGACCTGACATCCCATTCTTCAAAAATCAAATCTTTCGTGGTTGTTCCAAATTGTTCTAATTGTTCCAAACATTGTTCCAAAGTAGTAATTCTCCAAACAAAGAATTTAAAAAGATAAAATATAAAAACGATATCGAGCGCGCAAACAGTATTTTTACATCTACGGCTATCAGTATCGTCTTCTGCACACCGAATTGCATATTTAAGCTAATAATTAACGTGACAACTTGGAACAATTTTGATTTTTGCCAGAACAAATTTTTTAAGGGTACTTTACTCTTGGAAGTAAACATATTTTTTCCCTTTTTTTGTCATTTTCGACTGATTATCTTTTTTCAGAAACTATCAATACCATGGATTGCGATGTTAACTAGTATTCCAACATGGGCACTACTGGCTGCCCAATCTGCTCAAAACTGGGGTTTCTGGATGCTTTTGACTAAAATTCCGTCCTATATGACATCTGTCTTACGATTTGATATCACACAAGTAAGTATTATAAAGTCTTGATTCATTTTAATAAAAAAAGTTGATTTTAGAAGAAATTTTATTAAAGTAAGAAATGCAATTGAAAGAAGTAATTAATATACAGTAGACTCTCATATTGCCACATGAATGATTTGACCTTCACACGAATTTTCAAACATACCATTGCTGTTCCTTCCATCATCGCATAACCTACGAGGATGATAATATTTATCTCCCTTCTTCTCTTCAAATGAAAGTCGTGGCAATATAACAAACATCTACTGTAGTACAATAGTTGAAAATGAAAAAGAAACTATAATTTATGTTTACAAAAAAGAGAAGGCGAACCTAAGTGAACTCAAACCTACGAAAAGAGTTTACAGCGCATTACAAGTTAAACACTTCACCGCTGGACCATCGACACCGTTGAAAACTTTTTCATTACTTTGGGATAAAGCATATGACCTACTTAATAAAAAAATTTCAAAACAATTGATAATAATAATATTAGTAATATACACTTACAAAAATAATATGAATCTAGATCTGCGACTCCTTCAATATAAAATCGCCTTTTCAGCATTTGTGGAGATTTTTCATTTTTTTACAGCTTGAGTTTTCAGTAAGAATCTAAACAAATTCAGAATTTATCGTGTACTAACATAGGAGAAATTAACCAATAACATGATTTTAAATTTGTGTCCCCCCCCCCTCGAAATATTGGACTGAAACTTGGCATGGACAAGTTTTTTTTATAAGCTACCGAATGAGCCATCGCAAATCGAGTTTGGTTTAGGGCCACTTTTGACCACCTTATCCAGCTATACCAGGGGTGAGCAAATAGCGACCCGCAGGCCATATGCGGCGCGCTAAGAGATTTTTTGTGGCCCGCCAAGACAGTCAAAAAAATCCGTCTTGAACCGAGATTTCCTTCCTGTGCGCGAGCGAAGATTCGACTCGTATTTAAATAAATTGAATAAAACTGCCACTATTTTATTGAATTTGTATTTATTGATTTTTATGGTACAATTGATACCTTTCTGAAATGCAAAGTTAACTAATCATTTTAAAAGGTGCGGCGCTCCGCTAACCTCCGCTTCCACAAAATGGCCCCCGAGCCAAAACAATAACCCACATCTGTTCTATTGTAACGTCCCACAGACAACTTAGTTTAAGAATTATTGTTTTCGCTTAAAATAGTTGGAGTAATTGTAACAATTTTGTAATAAATTATGATATTGAACTGAATTATGTTTAATCGGTAATAGATATACAGTGGTACCTCGGTATATGTCTGCTTTTGGAATACATCATGTTTGGACGTGACAAATTTTGCTCGGTATACAACTTCTGTTCGGTATTCGACATAAACTTTTTGTGTGAATTTTGTGTCATTTTTAAATAATTATCTCAGAGGAAAAATTAAATTAATAATCAATTATATTCGGAGTTAATGTATTATTAATTGAATGATCATACAAAAAGGATCATACAACAAACTATAACCGCAAAATAGGAGGCACTAAAATTTATTCCATTTGGTTTGTTAATTTAGAATCTATCATTAGGTTACATTTATACATAGTAATCAAACGAAGGTCGCATACACTGTTGTAGACGCATACATATAGACAGAATTCATTGTTGTGTAACGATATTTTTTTGCAAGTATCTCGGAAACTAAGCGAGTCCTATATAGGTTAGACGAAAAAAGTTGCTTAAAATATCGAATTTAACAACATATTTAAAAATCATCGAAATCAGAAAGGGAGCGCCTTTTCTATAAGTTCATCTTTATATCTAACAACAAGTAGAGCAGTAAACATTTTACATTAAAACTCTGTCATTACTGTTTTGAATGCGTGTATATACTTTATATTGTTATATTCATTCTAGGTACATATCCACTTTATTTGTTTCAGAATGGTATTACGAGTTCACTGCCCTATCTAACTGCATGGATTCTTAGTTTCCCTGTCAGTTATGTTTCCGATCTCCTTATCAAGCGGAGTATTTTGAACGTTGAGACGTCGAGGAAAATTTGCAATACCATAGGTCAATGGATTCCGGCTGCTGCATTAATCGGTCTTGCATACGTTGATAAAGAACAACCAGAAATAGCAGTTGCAGTTTTAGTAATCGCTGTTGCCAGTAATATCGCTATTTATTGTGGCCATAATATAAACCATATGGATCTTAGCCCGAATTTTGCTGGTACTTTAATGGGCATCACAAACACTATCGCTAATTTCTGCAGTATTTTGGCTCCATTGGTTCATAGCGTTATAGTTACAGATTCGGTACGTATAAACTTACTTTTATCCATTGGCGTGGCCGGGTAGAGTCCAGGGTGGGTCTGCCCCCTTCCGGATGCGTCCTTGATTGTCGATCGATACGGAATTTGGGGGCGGGGAGGGGATACAGAATCCCAAATATAAAAGGATATCTTCATCGGCCTATTAGTTTCCGAGATATCAATGAAAAACTTTCGACTAGAATAATCGTCTTGGTCGCCAAATGTCGACGTGTCGACTAGCCAGAGACGCAATGGGGAGCGAACCTGAAAATTTATACGATGCCTCATTCAAAATTTCGACGATGCGACGACTATCATAACGTTGCCGGCCGCCCTCCAACAGCCAGAAATTTATCTATCCTAACCTAACCTAACCCGAAAGCTTCGACATAAATCAAATGTGCTTAATTAAAAAAAACTATAAAGAATTTATAAAAATGTATTTTACATGGAATACCCTATAAATGCAAAAGCCGATATCACTAGAATATCAGTAGCTGCTCGACTCTCGACGATGACAGCTACTGCATACAGCGGAAACGATTGTATTAATTACATCTGTATAGGCAGAATTTTATGTATTATGTCAAAAGTTTTTAATTAATATCTCGAAAGCTAATAGCCTAACGAAAATATCATTTTATATTTGGGATCTTCTAATCTAATCTAATTCACCAATTTAATTTTGTATTAGATTAAATTCAGTTAAGTTAGGTTAAATTAATATTGGATTTTTAAGTTTCACCTGTTATGTATACTGCTTGACGGGCTTGACCATGCTGTGTTTACAGAAACCAGCTATCCCATACTGACGCATACACTGCCACGGATATGTAGGTACACGCAGAATTCACTAAACAGTAGCAACTTTCTTTTGCAAATATCTCGAAAACTAAAGCCGAGCGGTGGTTATATGTACAGGAAAAAGTTGCTCAGAATTATCATCCCAACAATATAGTAAAAAACGAGCCAAATCGGTAGTGTTGACGAGATATCGATAATTAACGGTTATATTAATATTTCAGCCGCCTTTGGGCGGCCGGCCTCGCAAGTCCAATGTCAAAATTATTGCAATTAGTAGTTAACTTTGATTTTAAGCTGACCCGTTATATGGGCGGTAGCCGGGACATGTGGTGCTGTTGACAGAAACAGTAGATAAGATTCTCTTGACGACGCACATACAGCCGCGAACGTATACGTACAGACGAAATTCAATGTAGTAGCACTCATAGTTTTTCGCGAATATCTTGTAAACTAATCTAGTCCGACATGTAGCTTATAGAAGAAAAAGGTTGCTTAAAATGATGAATTTTACAATATATTTAAAAATCATCGAAATCGGTAGGGAAATAGCTTTTCTACAAGTTCACCAAAAATTCTAACAAGGAAAGGCACGGAAGTGTCCCCCTCCGATTTTGATGAAACTTCGTACATTTGTTAAACAGATAAAAATAAGGGACACGTATTTTTTTATATCTGCTGAGACGCGACTTTAAGGGGTGAAACCACCCCTCAAAGTTTGGACCTGAAACTGTTATTTTGAAAACCAAAAGAGATACGTGAAAACTTCTAATGGGCAGATTTAATGGTTTTTTATATACAATAACATGGTGTTGACAGATTGTCAAAAATACAATTTGTTTATAACAAAAAAAATGTTTATAACATTATTTTAAAACTCATTTAAATTTATGTAATTGCGCGTACGCTCGCTGAGTCAGCGCGTGATACTTTAATCGTATCTGACGTTATACACCGATGTTATTTACCCGCATAAGTGGAAAACAACTATTTTTATAACATACAATGGTTAATTTTGTTTTGTATCGCATGATATAAAATAATTAAAGCTATACATACTCCAGGGTGGATGTATGAAATTGATAATTTAAATATGCAACAAGGAATTTGAATAACTTAAGGAACATAGTCGTGACAAAAATGATACTCTTCGAAGAAATGCTTCAAACATAAAGGCTTTCGGCACCGAGCACAAGTAATAATAACCATATGTGGTTCATTTTCAGATTGATAGTCAATACTTCTAATTGTTTATTATCTGATGTAGCTTTTCCCATATGTCCACTACAGTATCCACTCAACGAATGGAATAGTAAAGCGATTGTTTATAAAACATTTACTTTAAAGATAAAAATATCTTATAACCTTTGTGACCTTCGCTCGTATAGTCTTATAAATTTTTGTTATTTATATATGGAACTCTCACCAATCGCGCTACGACCACGTGATTTATCGTATAACAATGAGCCAGAGTACGTATATAAAATAATGAACCACGATGTCACGTATGTGGTGATGTGGCTATTATTACCTGTGCTCGGTGCCGAAAGCCTTTATGTTTGAAGCATTTCTTCGGAGAGTATCATTTTTGTCACGACCATGTTCCTTAAGTTATTCAAATTCCTTGTTTCATATTTAAATTATCAATTTCATACATCCACCCTGGAGTATGTATAGCTTTAATTATTTTACATCATGCGATACAAAACAGAATTAACCATTGTATGTTATAAAAATAGTTGTTTTCCACTTATGCGGATAAATAACATCGGTGTATAACGTCAGATACGATTAAAGTATCACGCGTTGACTCAGCGGGCGTACGCGCGAGTCATAAATAATAAAAATCTGCGGAACTGTAGGAGGGAATTTCATAAACATATATATCAATGGATTTGGAATGAAATATTCTACATTTTTTGTCATTACATAAATTTAAATAAATTTAAATTTAAATTTAGGTACGTTCCCCATGAAGGACCAATATTTTTTTTCATAAAATCATTTTTTTTAAATTATTAATTTCATAAAAATACACAGTAATCATTTAATAACGTATAAAAAAGGTTTTTAAAATATTTTGTTATTAAGTATACATAAAAATAAGTTGTGCACTACTGATAACAACACTACAATTAAGGTACAATATATGTATATTGCTTTCCATATCCATCATAAACTAATAACCACGCAGCTCTTCAATTAACAAAATATTCGGAGCTATCCGTAATTAGAACAATACATAACCAGAAAATCGGTAGTGCACAACTTATTTTTATGTATACTTAATGCTGTGCCCGTTATAAGCGTTTTCTCTCCAAAGGGGGACGGGTGCTGTACCCAGCATTATGCCTAGGGTCGCGAATACTAGAAATGCTGCGCGCATTATTATATGTACTTGAAATTGTACCAAATATGGTCATCCCCACTAGTAAGCCTTGGTAAAACCAAGGTGATAAAAAGGGTAAGAGACGCCCAGAAAAGAGAGTTCGCAAAAGAAGTCAATAGAGTCTTCAGCCACACGTATCAGAACAATAAACCTATTCTCGCTACATCCGACGTACGGTGAATTCGAAATTCTTTAACCGCTCCAGAACTTAAGCATCCCACATAATCTTGTGCGCCGAGGGCACAACATTAATCATAAAATATTTTTAAAACATTTTACATACGTTATTAAATGATTATTGTGTATTCTTATAAAATTATTAATTTAAAAAAAAATGATTTTATGAAAAAAAAAAATTGAACCTGCATGGGGCACAAACCTTGCGACAAAAAGTTCCCATCCGCTTCGCAGTCGGAGACCTTACCGACTCATCCACCGACGACATTTAAAAACTACTTAATATTTTAGGAGATAAGGTGGGTAATTTCCAATTATTTACAATAACTTCACTTTCTCCATTCAGATCTCCATCCAACGAAAAAATATTAAAAATCACATAACCCACAATTATACAGGGTGTCCCGTAACGTATTTTCACCTTCTAAGGTGATGGTAGGTGGGGTGATTCTGAACAACTTTTTCCTTTGCGAAAAAGTGGTTTGAAGCTGCCTTTTTGAATTATTAAGCAAAAACACTGACCAATCCGAGCGCGTATAGCGCGCGGGCTCAGGGACGGCAGCGTCGGCTATGAAAGCGGGGCTTGACGTAGATCGCGAACGAACGGCTCGGCACCCCACTGACATAGCACAATAAAAAAATTGAACTGGTTGAACATTTTTAGTTGTTGTTTAAAATATATACGGAATCTAATCTCTTGTCGCATATCATTATGTAAAAAAGGAAATTCTAAACATTCTAAACAACAAATAAAAATGTTTGAAATGGAATAATTAATAAAAATTTAAAAACAATTTAAATGAAACTTACCCATCCGTTCCTAAATTAACCTGCTATGCTGAAAACAGATAATTCTCACTGGGTCACTGTGTCGATCTTGAACATTCGAGGAGGGAACAAATTATGAATAACAGCTGATCTCCAGACGAGATCATTGAACCCACTCAACCACACAGTCACTATCACCTTTCACAGAATTTTCTTTCAGGTAAATAAACATTTTTATTCACTGTCACGTTACTATTGCACTGGACACAAATGAAAAACATGTAAAGCCGAGTATCCACCTGTATCCAACGCCCGTATCGTATCACCGTTCCGAACCCTTTTGAATAGGCAGACGTTGCCTCGTTGCATGCCACGGCGTGCTACGGCTCGGACAATATTTCTTCGTTTCTTGAAAGAAACTCCTATAGGCGAGAAGTTTCGATTTCCTGCATGCTGTTTCTTTATTGTAATTGTCCTAACCATATCGTGTTTGGTATCATTTTAATCAGAAAAACGTCACAAATATCTTGGTAAAAGTTTTATAAGAAAAAAATGAAAAATAACAAAGTTCAGTCATTGCATTAGTATTATCTCACAGATATATCCGATTCCAGATCATATTATCTCGAGCCTCAAGTGTCATGTTTCCACTTGACATAGCATTTCGGGCCTTCGCCTGGGTATGTTGTTTTTACGTTTCAAGTGGTTTCCGAACCTATCCTTTGTACAGCAAGAAACCAACAATTTTCGGATCGGCCCGTTCCTTCACCTCCGTATCACAGCCCAATAGAACTTTCAATACTCGGCAACGGAAAAATCTCTGGAAAATTAACATTGTCCTTTTTCAATAATCACAGAGTTTCTTATTAACATTGCTCTTTTATGTACAGCGTATCACCGAAGATAATTGATCTGTTTAAATATATTTAGACGATAAAATTTGTCTAAATTAAATTAGATTAAGTTGATAAATAATTTCATCGATTTTGAAATGAATCCAATAATACCGCAAGATTTCAAATAAATTGAAACCCAAGTGACGGCACAAAACGCTATGTCAAGTGCAAATGCATAAACCTTTCCTTCGATGCAACGGCAAAGAATCGACAAATTTTTCGGATGGGTCCGTTGCCTCCGTTCCTTTGGAACGGCACGCAGCAAAACGAAACTCCTCGCCTGTAGTGGCCGACTCCTATTGCCGAACCGTTTCTATCAAGAAACGAAGAAATATTGTCCGAGCCGTAGCACGCCGTGGCATGCAACGAGGCAACGTCTGCCTATTCAAAAGGGTTCGGAACGGTGATACGATACGGGCGTTGGATACAGGTGGATACTCGGCTTAACATTCCGCACTACTTCGTAACGTTTTCACGACGTTATTGGTCTTCCTTTCCAACTTCAAATGGGCCTGCCAGCTTGAATGTGTGAGGTCTGTTTCGCTCTTTGTCCTTTTCTATGTTCGGTGACTTCAAAGGGTCGACACGAGCCTCTCTTGGTTACTCTTGGTTACTGAGAACAGCAGATTTATGACCACGAACCATGACCTATTTCTGAATGTAGAAAAAGACAAAAAGCGAAACAGACCTCACAACATTCAAGCTGGCAGTCCCATTTGAAGTTGGAAAGGAAGATCAATAACGTCGTGAAAACGTTACGAAGTAGTTCGGAATATTACATGTTTTTCATTTGTGTCCAGTGCAATAGTAACGTGACAGTGAATAAAAATGTTTATTTACCTGAAAGAAAATTCTGTGAAAGGTGATAGTGACTGTGTGGTTGAGTGGGTTCAATGATCTCGTCTGGAGATCAGCTGTTATTCATAATTTGTTCCCTCCTCGAATGTTCAAGATCGACACAGTGACCCAGTGAGAATTATCTGTTTTCAGCATAGCAGGTTAATTTAGGAACGGATGGGTAAGTTTCATTTAAATTGTTTTTAAATTTTTATTAATTATTCCATTTCAAACATTTTTATTTGTTGTTTAGAATGTTTAGAATTTCCTTTTTTACATAATGATATGCGACAAGAGATTAGATTCCGTATATATTTTAAACAACAACTAAAAATGTTCAACCAGTTCAATTTTTTTATTGTGCTATGTCAGTGGGGTGCCGAGCCGTTCGTTCGCGATCTACGTCAAGCCCCGCTTTCATAGCCGACGCTGCCGTCCCTGAGCCCGCGCGCTATACGCGCTCGGATTGGTCAGTGTTTTTGCTTAATAATTCAAAAAGGCAGCTTCAAACCACTTTTTCGCAAAGGAAAAAGTTGTTCAGAATCACCCCACCTACCACCACCTTAGAAGGTGAAAATACGTTACGGGACACCCTGTATAATTGTGGGTTATGTGATTTTTAATATTTTTTCGTTGGATGGAGATCTGAATGGAGAAAGTGAAGTTATTGTAAATAATTGGAAATTACCCACCTTATCTCCTAAAATATTAAGTAGTTTTTAAATGTCGTCGGTGGATGAGTCGGTAAGGTCTCCGACTGCGAAGCGGATGGGAACTTTTTGTCGCAAGGTTTGTGCCCCATGCAGGTTCAATTTTTTTTTTTCATAAAATCATTTTTTTTTAAATTAATAATTTTATAAGAATACACAATAATCATTTAATAACGTATGTAAAATGTTTTAAAAATATTTTATGATTAATGTTGTGCCCTCGGCGCACAAGATTATGTGGGATGCTTAAGTTCTGGAGCGGTTAAAGAATTTCGAATTCACCGTACGTCGGATGTAGCGAGAATAGGTTTATTGTTCTGATACGTGTGGCTGAAGACTCTATTGACTTCTTTTGCGAACTCTCTTTTCTGGGCGTCTCTTACCCTTTTTATCACCTTGGTTTTACCAAGGCTTACTAGTGGGGATGACCATATTTGGTACAATTTCAAGTACATATAATAATGCGCGCAGCATTTCTAGTATTCGCGACCCTAGGCATAATGCTGGGTACAGCACCCGTCCCCCTTTGGAGAGAAAACGCTTATAACGGGCACAGCATTAAGTATACATAAAAATAAGTTGTGCACTACCGATTTTCTGGTTATGTATTGTTCTAATTACGGATAGCTCCGAATATTTTGTTAATTGAAGAGCTGCGTGGTTATTAGTTTATGATGGATATGGAAAGCAATATACATATATTGTACCTTAATTGTAGTGTTGTTATCAGTAGTGCACAACTTATTTTTATGTATACTTAATAACAAAATATTTTAAAAACCTTTTTTATACGTTATTAAATGATTACTGTGTATTTTTATGAAATTAATAATT